ATTGCTGTGCACTTGTCCATAAAGCACACCCAGTGCCATAAAGCATAGCACTGCCAGCTAACTTCTGATTGGTTCCCTGCCACAAGGCAGGCATCTGACTTCTAGTGACTAGGACAAGGTCATGGCAAGCACGTGTTACTGTCATGGCTGCCGAAATGGGGAGCTGGTCCCTGTTCTATCTGAGTGTATGCCACATGTGTAAGGCTACCCATGGAGGCCAGAAAAGGGCATCTGGTCCTTTGGAGTTACTTACAGGTGGTCTGAGCTACCTGATGTGCGTGCATGCTGGGAACTGAACCCAGATCCTCTGGAAGAGCAGCAAATGCTTTTAAGTGCCGAGCCATCTCTCCAGTTCTACAATTAATATTTATTAGTGGTTGAGTAAGTGTGTATTTTTATTAGTTGTTTTATCTGTAGTATATAGTCTAATGTCTATGTCTTGAGGTTTCTATTGCTGTGAAGAGACACCATGACCATGGCAACTCTTACAAAGGAAAACATTTAATTGATGTGGCTTACAGTTTCAGAGGTTTAGTCCATAATAATCATTGTAGGACATGGTGGCATGCAGGCAGACATGGTTCTGGAGAAGGAGCTGAGAGTTCTACATCTTTAATCTGCAGGCAGCAGGAAGTGAACTAAAATACCTGGTGTGGCTTAAGCATATATGAAATCTCAAATCCTGCCTCCACAGTGACACACTTCCTCCAACAAGGTCATATCTACTTTAACAAAGCCTTACCTCCCAATAGTTCTGCTTCCTTCGGTGGGCGTTTTCTTTCAAACCACCATAGTTGGGCCCCATGAAAAGCACACATGAACATTGGTTGATGAGTGAATGAATAAATGTGAAATGTCACACATTTTCTGAAGGTACTTGGATTTCCTGATAATGTCCTCTGCCTGTGTATAGCCCGTTGGCCATTTTTGTTTTCCCATTATTCCTTGTGTAGGATTTGTGTATGGCTAACCATTTCAGCCAGCAAGGTGCATTTCCATATTTTGCTGGTAGAATGTAATTGTGAAAGAACATTCTTGACTTTGCTACTGGCAAATGTTTGATAACTCTTTTCTGATTACCACAGAAATAGAATATTTTTTCAGGCCTTGAGAGTAGGTAAGTTGGTTATATATTTGCTGTTTGTTTTGCTTAAGGGAGTCTCATTTGGGTTCAGGGACCCTCAAGAGGATCCCTTAAGACACCAGAGCCCTTCTCTACTTAGCTCAAAGAGGTTGAAATTGAGCTACAGAGACTGAAGACTCTGAACTTTGCCGTGAAACCTCAGGAGAGTCGTAGGTATGTATGCCAAACACAAAATAAATGCCATTAGTCACGTGTGGAAATTTCCCTAGGAAGTAATGACCCCCAGGAGATCACATTGTAAATGGCTGTTGCTGAAATAAGGGTGGCACCTCGTATACCATGGAAGTAGCACTGATTTAATATAACTAGTGAATGATGAGCCTTGCTTAATGGAGCCTTATATCTCTCCCGAGGGTCATATGTTGACAGGGGTCTTGGGACCAATCTGAACTACTAAGCAGGGAAGATCACACTACCCTGCCTTGTGCTTGGGTGTCTTCTGTGACCTGTGGCCATGATTCATAATTGTAGCACTAAATAGCTACTTATCAACACTGAGGTTGATTAAAAAAATACCTTGGGGCTGGTATAACTCAGGCACAGTTTGTGTGTAGTTTGCACAAGTCTCTGTATTAAGTCTGCAACCTCCCCCAAATGTATTCACAGACAATGTTGGCTCAGAAGAAGATACCCCCACACACACCATATAGCTTTATGGTTTAAAGTAAGAGCACACGGAGAGCAGCACATTCAGTGAGGCCTCTCTCCCAGTTCCTTTATCTATCTTGAAGCGCTCATGCTCCAGCAGATACTATTTGCTGCAAATGTCTTCCCCGGCTATCCCAGCAGAAAGAGGAGATTGATGCGTATGGCAGGAAGGATGGATGACAACTACACCTGGAACCCATAGGAGCATTACCCCAAGGCATCGCCTATTCTTTGAGTCCATTCATTTCCTCTAAAAATAATTTACGCTTCTGCTAAAATTGCCCAATACTTCTTTCTCCCCTAAGAACAGATGTGCACTTCTAAATCTCACTGAACTGCTGGGCACCTGTGTGGTTCCCAGCATGTGCAACACTCTGCGTGTCTTCTCCCTCGTCACTGTGTCTACTGCCATTTTCAGATTCAAACATTGAGCTCAGAGGGAAAACAGAAAGCTCTTTTGTGCATACCCTTATAACTTTATGTGACTTTCTTATCTGCTTCCCAAATGATATTCAGCTTCAAATGTTGTGTCCATATTAACACTGCTTTGGATATTAGCTAGGTGACTGCCCTCTACTGATATCAAACTTGTCTCCTGCTGAATAGCAGGATTGTCCTCAATTTCCTACTAATCTTTGAATGACCTTAGAGGATTTTAATTCTGGACTTTAAATCCCAAGGACAATACCCAGATTCAATAACACTGACCCCAAATATTCTTTCTTTTATGCACCTTGATGGGAGCAATCATAGGTGAGAGATTTCTCAAAGTGCCTGGATGTGTTTTCCCATCCTATCTGCACAGTGAGGAAGATCTAGATGTTTAGTCTCATGGAATGCATTGCTTTGCTTTCCACGCATGGGCGGCCATGTGAACAGGAATAATTTATGGACCCCATTTTCCATTTGCAAATGAAATAGGCTGCTTGTTCTTTATGGGAGAGAAAATGGCTCCTTTGGGTCACAATTAGCCTAGCAAGCAATTAGTCACAATTAGTCACAATGCTGGCAGTTAATTGTGCACACAAAGTTTTTTAGACAAAGTAAGACTGAATTTCTTAACTTGAGCAATATATCCAGAGCTCTGACTTGTCCGCCTTCTGTTCTGATCTGGTTTAAAGTTTCTCATTGTTCAAAGAAATAATTTAAACTTCTTTATTGACTCTAGCTTATTGTTGGGCAGTGTGTAGGAGCATTAGAAGTTGTGGTTGCAACCGAACAATTAGATTGCTTCTGGTTGCTAAACATGATTAAGAGGCGTGCTTATGCTGCACAGCATGGAAACAGCATTCCCTAACAACCTGGGACCTCAGAAGCAAGGAAAGGCCCAAAGGCAGAGACTCTGGGAGGAAAATTTGAATTGCACAAGTGGATGAGCTTCTTTCCACAGTTCTGTGACTATGGAGAGTCAGTCACAGGCATGAGAAACAGGATAGCGACACTGTGGTCCTCATGGAGTCTTTCCTTCTGAAATTCCATCGGAGGGTGAATATGCCTCTTCAGAGTTAGAAGACCATTCTGGAAGATCTGACTCTGGGCCATAGCATAAAGAAGACTGACTGCTGGAATGTTTAGGATCGGCAGGAGACAACTCTGGAAACAGAGTGTCAGCCGAGTTCTAACGGTAAGAGCTGGTGACTGTGGTTTGAGCACCTCTAATACCAGGTCCAAAAAAATTTCAAAGTTATGCATAGGCGAATCTATGAAAAACCTGTTTGCTCACTAATTTTTTTGGCACAGTACATGCATTGATATTTCACTTGTGGAACAATTGTACCTTTTGACTTACTGTACTTTTCTGCCTGAGTGTAACTATGTGTAGAAATTTACAAGTAATCTTTAGGGAAGATGCCTCTCTGTGATCAAAAATATGTTTGCTCATGGTTTGGGCACTGTATATTCCTTAAGGCACGTGAACTTTTGCTGGTTTTTAGATACGGATAAGGCAGATTTTGGACACAATATTGTTAGGATTTTTTACAACCCCCCCCCCCCCCCCCCCCCAAAAAAAAAAAAAAAAAAAAAAAAAAAAAAAAAAAAAAACAACAAAAAAAAAAAAAAAACACACAATGTTTTTCCCCCCCCCCCCCCCCCCCCGCCAAGTCTAATGTTTTTGGAAATGAGATCATGGACAAGGAGATGGAGGAATGAGAATCAGCTTCACTACACAGGGCCCTTCTCAGTGGCTGCATATCAGAGCTTTGCACCTTCCACTACTAGGCATTGTCCCAAAGACTTCCCTTCCAACATTACTCTATTGCTTCTTGCCTGACTTGGTCAAGGCTCTTTATGTACAGGTACTCATGGAAGGGGTCTCCCTTCAAGTAGTCATGGACAGACCTAGCCCAGAGTGACAGAAAGGTGAACTTGTTACAATGTTCATCTTGAAGCAGCTAGACAGAGTAACCTAGGTTACTGCCTTCAGAACTGCTAACAAGCCATGGATGCTCCACAGCTGGCCAGAGGCCTGTTTGTTCTGCCAATGGTTGCTTAAACTGAACTGAGCTTCCAAGCATCCATAGTGTGCCTGTTTCAGGCACTGATAAGTGGAGCAGAGAGTGTGGGGCAGGCACTCAAATGGGGGTATAAAACAGTAAATCACAAAGATTAAGTCAACAATTACAAGAGAACTCAGGAACAACCCTGATGAAGCCATCTAGCCGGTTGTGTAGCTATGAAAAGATTAGGGGTGGGAATCCTGTGTTTTTCGATCCCTTCAACACTGGCCACCCACCCCTGAGATTTTGTCTCAGATCTCTTTCATCCTACCTGCTGAGCCATCTCACCAACTTTGTGGTTTAGTTTTTATATGAGGCTGGGTCTCTGGCCAAAGCTGGTCTTGAACTCCCTATGTAGTCAAGAGCATGACCTTGAACTCCTGATCTTAAGCCTCCACCTTCTGAGTGCCAGCCACCACATGAGGTTTATATTGTGCTGAAGATTGAATATGGGGCTGTGTGTATACTGGGTACAACTAAGCTGCATCCCCAGAAATAAATTTTAATTTTAATAGGCAAAAACTGTGAATTTGAGGGACTGTGAGATGTTTTGATTTAGAATAAGGCCACCACCCAGCCTATCATTACTTGCATACCATTTCTTTAGAGGCCTCTGATTTCTAAAAACCTTTTGTTACTATAGACCTTGGGACACAATGCTGATAATGGTTGTGAGGTAATAGAGTGAGCTGCTCTTCTCTCATTTCTGAAAAATTTTCTTGTCCCCTCTACCACATCTAAGACGTTGTAGTAAAATGTAAATCTTTAGATATCTTTAATGAACTAAATTCTCCTTCAACATGCACTGCCTCTTGAGAGTAAATCTTTTGGGGAAGTTTCATTTGTGTTTCTTAAGTGCTGGCTATAGTCACCCCTCTGAGGTGTGATGGGAACGGAATTATCTTAATGATACTGCAGTATATTATATAAGTGTACATTGTCTATATGCTGACTGATATGATAATTATTGAGTCATAATTTTTTGAGCTGAAATACTCAATGGATAAAAGCCTAACATGTAAGATAACAGCTATAGATGGGTTTGTTTAACCTTGGTCTGGAACTTGCACTATGCTGATGATGTAGTATAATTAGGTTACAATGATATGCTAATTGGTTTTGTCCATGTGTATCCATGCCAGCAGCATCAAGATGTAAAAATTCTATGGTCGGGGGAATGGGAGTATGGAAGGGAGAGGGAACTGGGATTGATATGTAAAATAAGATTGTTTTTTAATTTAAATAAAAAATTCTACAGACATGGAAAGACAGGCCATCTCTTTTCTTTCTTTCTTTCTTTCTTTCTTTCTTTCTTTCTTTCTTTCCTTCTTGCTTCCTTCCTTCCTTCTTGTCTGTCTTTTTTTTTTTGAGACAGGGTTTTCTGTGGCCTTGACTGTCCTGGAACTTACTCTGTAGACCAGGCTGTCCTGGAACTCACAGAAATCCACCTGCCTCTGCCTCCCAAGTAGTGGGATTAAAGGCATCTGCCACCACCACCACCACCCAGCAGGGCACCAGGTTTCCTGGAACTGGATTGACAGATAGTTGTGAGCTGTGTGGTTGCTGGAGTTGAACCCAGGTCCTCTGAAAAACCAGTCAGTACTCTTAACCACTGAGCTATCTCTCCAGCCCCTCCTTTTCTTATATAATAAACTCAAATGCTTTTCAATAAAAAATATTTGAAATAACCCTGTATATATTCACTCAGTTATTAGCAAAACCTTGGTCCAGATATATCTGCCTTCTTTTTTTCCATAGATTGAAAAAAATGCTTAATATTTATTTCCAAAGGACATGAGTTACAAACCTGATGACTCATTTTTTCCCCCTAAAATGAACCCAAAATACATAATTTTGTAGTTTGATCTTGTTAACTTCAAAGAAAAAGTACAACTAGAAAGACATATGGCAGTCACATTGACTGTTGAGTTCATCTATCTGTGAGGAAGATTTTAGATGCAGTTGTTATCGCCAAGCTGCAGACAGACAGACCTGCTGGTAGTTTTGCATGCATTCATGCTAGACAATGCTGTTGCAGGTAGGATTTCAGATGGCTCCTAATGGCTGTCTCCACGGGGATTCTTGTGGGTAGAGGCTGGGAGGGGAGAGAGTGCAGTGCTCCCCTGGGGAGGCTTAATGTCTCCCACTGAGATCCTCTGCAGGAGGCCAACTGTGTTTTCAGTGTGATGTGTAGTGGAGGCCCAGACAGAAAGAACCTAAGTGCCTGACACCTGGCAAAGCTGAAAGGCTGTCAGCATTGTCACCCCCTGCACTATAGCCAAGCCAGCAGCGTCCTTTGTTCGTCAAGCCTAGACTTGTTTGACTAGGTGAACACATTTCACATTGAGCAGGTTAAAATGCTTTCCTTGTCACCAAGGAAAGCAAATGGCTTGAGGATTTATCAGGAGAGTGGGGGAAGGGGTGGCTATTGCTTACTAATGGGCAAGAGAGTATCTATCCTTGGGTCTGGGAGGGTTAGCCCCAAAGATGCCACACTGTAACGACCTAAGAAACAGTAGACTCTAGAGAACAAGTCAGACTCCGTTGATTTCACAGCTGTCACTTACATGCCCACCTTATGCCAAACACTGTGCTCCAGGATACACTAAGTAAGGGCTCTCCAGACCTCACAGAAATTAAAGCTGACGTTATTCTGTTATTCACTTTTTTGTTTCCTACAATTCCAGGAAGCAGAAAAAGAGAGGCTGAGAATTAGAGGGACAGGCACAGTTTCTGCCCTTGGACCTTCTATTATAAGCTGCTATTCAAGCAATAACCTGGCAGCGCCAATCAATCACCGTCCCCCCAGAGAATGACTAAAGCTCAATAGGCTTGGCAGAATCTTGAGAACTAGCTCCACTCCTGGACAAGCAAGGCAGGCTTCCTGGTGGCAGGAGGTACAGACACCAGAAGTTCCAGGTGACGCTGGAGGATAGTTGGCTTTAAGCACAATGATTTATTTTATGAATGAGAGAAGTTTGGAAATTTTACCCTGGCGTCACATAGAATGTGAATGCTGACATATATATTTTAAGTACTTGGATCAGAGCCACCTGAATTAATGACCCCAGCTGCCAGGAGAAAGTCTATAAGAGAAGAATTCTGTAAGAGCGGTATTTCTGATTTTGGAGTAAAACCACTGTTGGAGTTGAGGAAGGTAAAATTGAAAGCTCACTAAATCTTTTACATCCACAGATTTGGTGTTCAGAAAGCAGATTGTAGGTGTCCAGAGGAGGGATGGAGAGATGACTCAGTGTTTAAAAGTGCACATTGTTCCTCTGATGTACTCAGGTGGGGTTCCTAGACCCCATGCCATTAAAATCTATAACTCTGGCTTCCCTTTGGCTGGGTGGGTGTGGTGGTGAATGCTTCTTTAACTTCCAGCATTGGGAAGGCAGAGGGAGGCAGATTTCTGATCTATATAGTGAGTTGGAAGCCAGACAGACATAGTGAGCTCCACTGCCTGCCTTAAAAAGAGTTGAGTTGGTACTTGAAGGTGGTGGGTGGCACACCTCTGGCATCCATATACCCAAAGACTTATCAGTGCTCTGGTGGAAGCTCCACCTCAATCTCTCTCCACATCTCTATCTCCCCAAACCCTGCCCCAACCCACAGAGTCACCAAGCAGGGCTCCTCCCCAGAGATACGCAAGATCACTCCCACAAGGTATTTTAAGTGCTTCCCAGAAAACAGACAAGTGGCTTTTCAGTCTCTTTTCCCCGTTTCTTCTGGTTTGGGGGGCAGGGGTGGGGGGCAGGAGGTGTAGAAAATTATTCAGGAGCATTTTATCCATCAAACCTGGGCTTTTTCTAATTTGGGATGATTTGGTCTGATTTGGATTGCTCCGTTGGCAGAGAGGCTTATCTGGGTGTTGGGGTGGGGAGAGGGTTTGGTGATGGTAATATCCCATAGCTGGCTTGAAGTTGGTTTGGGGAAATTCACTTAAACTGAATAATACAGAGATATCACATTTTTTGTAAGGGCTACTGATGCAGAGATAATATTATGTTCAGACAGAGATAAATTATGTTAAAATGGCAATGATACAGGATTTCTGGGGAACGTGAATGAGACTGTTAATTCTGTTGAGAGTGAAGATCTCCTAGCTTCCAGCCTTCCTGTGAGC